GAAGCTAGCATAACTGGAGGTGGGCACTCAGGGTCAGCATGTCACAGCAAACTAGATTGAGGGCACATGGAAGATGCAGGAAGAGCCCACCAGCCAGGGGGGATCAGACGCCCTGCCACAGGCTCCGGTTCAAAGCCAGTCATGCAATAGCCAGGAAATGACTCCAAGGCAGGGATGGGAAGGGAGCTGGAAAGAGGCCAGTAGTAACCAAACTACGACTAGAGGCGCGCCGGAACCGGGAGCAGCAGTCCAGGTGCTGCAGAGCAGGCAGGGGCAGGGGCTGCCTGGCGGCCCTGGTGGACACGGAAACCAGCACTGGGGGCATTTAGCACTTAGTCTTCTGCCCTTGGGGTGTCTGGGGCTCTGCTGTGGGCAAGGGGCTTGCCACATCCACTCCATTTGCCGGTGGTAGACGTGGAGGTTTGTACTCAGCTCTGACCACTCCTGGTGAAACCTAATGCAAAATACGAAAGCAGAGGACTCTCCCCACAAAACGCATCCCCCACGTCCCTTCACCGGTCTCCACAAGGACCTTCTGAGGGTGGGCGCACATGGGTCCCCCGCTTTGCGTATTTCTCCTGCATGGCTTAGGATCTTGTTAAAACCGCTATTCAAGATGTTGTAAATGCTTCCGGAAGCATGTCCCTCAATGGAACTGTTCTAGCTGACACACCTTGAGCGGTGCACGAGTTTGTATGTAGATGTCTTCAGATTTACCCAGCTGTACATTTGTGATTTGAAGATGACGCGCTCTTGGGTATATGAATTACGGTCCTCTTGGCTGTCAGCGATAGGTCCAGCGATGGCAGGGGTGGTCACTTTCCAAGGGAAAGGCAGAGCAGACAGGCTGCCCGGCACAGGACAGGCGCTGGGAGTTACGGACTCAGCAAAGGGAGGATTCTAGTGGGGAAGAACACTTGAGTCCTTTTGATGATTTAAAAAATCACATCTTACTTGGCCAACAAAAACTTCAGGTTAAAACAATGAAACCTCGAATGAATTCCCTTGTTGGAGGCCAGACCTTGGGGTCAAAAGGAATATCAACATCACAGCAGGCCCAGGCAAACCACCAGACTGGCACTGGCCCCAGCCAATGGAGGAGGCTCCTGAGACCGCGCTACGCCCCCCTCCTCACCCTCCCTGGCGGTCACAGGGAGGTCGGAATCCAAGCTCCACCATAGCTCCAGCCCTATGTGACTTCAGATCAACCTTCTTTGAGGCTCTCCTCTGCACCTGGAGGCCCTGTGCCCTGTATAGCCAAGGGGACAGCAGTCAGGAGGGCACATCCCTTATCAAAGGACCACTAATGGTGACTGAGACAGAGGGGAGAGGGCGGGAGAAGGAGGGGGCGGAGGAGGAGGGAAGGAGGAGGAGGAGAGAGGGAAGTCAAAGCTGTGCACTAGGAGGTTCTGAGACCTTGTGACTAAGTGCGAATGACAAAGTTCAAGTAGCAGCCATGTGGTTCGAGGGGGAAAAAGGAGAAATCAGAGGTCAGTCAGTGTTGAAGGTGACAAGGATGATAAAATGACCAGCAGTGGCCTTTGGCAAGAGGAAGACAGGAGGGGATATGGAATCACAGTCCCTGAAACCTGACTGGGGAAGAGGGCCCTTCCTGGGCAGGTGGGAAGGAGGGGGTGGGGTGGGGGTGGAGCTACCAGCCCAGACCAACCCCTTGCCCGAGTCCCAGCAAGGCCATTCATTCCTGGTTCTCTCTCAACACAGCCTTCTTATCCCTGATCTTAGCCCAAAGGCCAGCAAGCGGTAGCACTGCCCTTTTGAAAAGGAGAGGTACAACAGGAGACTGCTGTGGTCATGTTGCCCAAACCAGTACTCCTCCAAAACAGAGGAGACCCCAAGTGGGCCCAGGTCTCCCTGGATGGGAGGGGGTGTAACAGCGATCAACAGAGTGGGTCAGAACACCCCACATCTTCACCATGGTGTGAACTCAGGCCAGCACGTGACCAGCATGCGCTGGCGCTAAAAAATAGCCACACAGGCACACTTCTCATTGGCTGATGGAATGACTGAACTTGCGAATTATGATATGTAAATTACTTGACAATAAAACTGTTGGGAAAAAACCAACCACACAATGGCTTCTGAGGACACTCATTCACACACTAATGGGCTTGTAGGGTCTAGCCCATGAAATCTTTCCAAGGAAAAGAAATAGATCTTCTGTAGCTAAAACCATATATAGCTTCATCTGAAAGCCTTCTGATATATATATATATATATATCTTCATCTGAAAGCCTTCTGATAGCCTCTTCTTGGAAGAGGCCTCTTGTACTCGGATGTTCTCATCTTTAACAATACATCACAGATAAATCTATGATTCTGCAAGAGCTACCACTTCACTATCTGAGTACTCTTTTTGTGGCTCTATTTGAGAGCTTTACCACAGCACAGTGACCGGGCTCCCTGGAACAGACCCTAGATGATGTCTAAAGATGGGGATTGGCAAATGAGATCCACATGCCAAATCTGGCCCCCTGCCTGTTTTTTTAAAGAAAGTCTTATTAGAACCCAGGCGTGTCCATTGGTTAGCTAGTCTCTAGCTGCCTTTGGGCTACAATGGCAGAGCAGAGCAGTTGTGACAGAGATCCCATTGTGCTGTGACCTACCGCTTAAAAACATATACTATTGCGTCCTTTAGAGAACAGTGTTTTCCCTGATCTAAAGTGTGGCTCCTGGAACCCCCAGCAGCAGCTGCATTTGGTAGGGTATCAGAAATGTAGAACCTCAGACACCACCCCTGGAATGTGTGTTCTGACAAGTTTCCAGGTGATTCTGATACAAGCACAAGGATGATACACCTCAATGTGCACTCAAAACACCTGGGGTGTTTGTTAAAATGAAAATGCCGATTCCATATACCTGGGGCAGAGCCCCTGTACTGTCTGCTGCTGGTCCTCAGACCTGATGTCGAGCAGCAAGGGGTGTCTTCCCTTAGCCCCCTCTAGCAGTGGAATTACCAATGGTTCTGGCCAAGAAAGTGTCCAGTGGGGTGGGGGGAAACGAGGGTTGTATGGGCAAAGTGATTTGAATGCTTTTACACGACCCCTATGAGGGCCGCTCCTCGGGCCCTACCTTCTTCAGTATTTCTGTGTTCAGCAGCATGGACACGTCTATTGTCCGACTTTCTTCTTTAGCGAGGGCACTCAGGTTACAGTGCACTGTCAGGCAAGACATCCCTGGTTTCTCACAGTCCTGAGAAGAAAGACCAGAGAGTTGGCACATGGTATCAGGAACACCCTTTATTAAGCAGTGGGCACCATTGAGCTTTGATTCTCCTTTGACTAAGGCAAGCAATCTAATTGATCCTAACTCACAGGGACCATACAGAACAGAGTGGAACTGCTTCAATGGGGTTTCTGAGACGATAATTCTTTGAGAGCACAGCCTCATTTTTCTCCCATGGCTTGGCTGGTGGGTTTGAACCATCATCGTTGCAATTAGCAGCCTGGTGCTTATCCTGCCATGCCACCAAGGCCATGCTCCCACTGCTATGGCTCAAAGCCCCCCTACAAAGTAGAACTGCCTCTGGGTTTCTGAGCCTGCAGATCTTCCCAGGAGCAGAAAGCCTCAGGTTTCTCCTTGCAGTCAGCAGCCAACATACAACCCACTCCACCACCAGGCCTCCTGACCACAACATTTTCCAACCCCACTGCCATCGAGTCGTTCCAACTCATACTGACCCTACGGAGGGGCTTCAAAGCGGTAACTGTTTGTGAGAGCAGACAGCCTCGACTTTCTCCTGTGGATCGGCTAGTGTGTTTGAACTGCTAACCTTGCAGGTAGCAGGCCAACAGTATCACCAGGGCTCTCAAACGCTGCCATCAAGTCAGCTCTGGACAGGGAGATGCAATCATTCCTTTCTGTCACGAGAGGGCACTCTAGGGATTTCTTACTTGGTCTCAGAGGGAAAGCCAATTAGCTGAATGCCACTTCTTGTTTAATCCTACCCCCCAATTTGGATTTCACAAGGGGAAAAAATATTTTAAAAAGAAACATGCTTTGAGAAAATCATTGCAGTGGGAAATGCATTTTCCGGATTGCCCCCATCCCTCAACCCCAGGCAGGGCAAATTAGAGGGCAGGAAATACAACCAAAATTCAAGGGGGAAGAGGCTTTGAAAGAGGATCATTAGTCTATTAATACTGTCACTTAACTTACATATAGTAAACAGAACAAAGCTTAGGGACACACACTTTTTTTTTCACACTGGGAACTATCGCTCACATCAAGAGGTAGGGGCCATTCCTAGCCGGAGCAGGCAGGCGTGTGTCCTCACCTAGCTGACAGTCTCCTAAAGTACCCGCTAGTCTCAATGGCTATAGGTTACGTTTGTCACCTGTGGAAAATGCTACCAGTGAGATCTTACGGTGCGTGGGTCCTTTGGTCTGTGTGTTCTTTCTCTCACTGCTATATCGGTGAGCTGAACATACGTTGGCGCGTGTGGCGGCAGTTGGTTATTTTTCATTGCTGTGTGCTATTCCAGTTCGTGGATAGACCGTGATTTGCTCATTCTCTTTCCGATCAACCTCTGGGTTGTTTCCAGCTTTGAGCTATCCTGACTTACACGGTTGTCAACATTCTGATCCACGTTTTTTGTTTGTTTTGAGAGAGGGCACGGCAACTCACTTCTCTGGTGAGGAAGCCCAGGCGTGAGATGGCTGGATCATACAGGGCACATGCTTAGTTGTAGAAGACACTGAAACAGTCTCCCACAAGGTAGCACCGCAAACTTCCCTCTCATTTAGACGCAGACTGGTAAGAATAGGCTTGCCTGTGCCTGGCCTGGGATTTGGGCTGTAAATTTCACACAGATCAAAACCTCCAGCTGACAGACGGGGGTTCTCCACAGTCCTTATCATTTCACATAAGGCAACTGACGAAAACCACATTGGGGAAGTCATATATGCCAACGAGAAAACTGACCCCTCATCTCAGATCGGCCTTCCCATTGGGGACCACCCAACGTCACGTCACCACAACTACGAGTTCTTACCAAGACTTTTCTCCCGGACTTTGTGAAAAAAGCAAATATTGTGTGGAAGATATTTTCTTGTTCTTGAGGGATGATACACGGGGTTGGATTTCTCTGGAAAGAGCAGTTTCCTTTCTCTTGGCTCACCTGGAAATGAAAAGAGGGTTGTCAGAGCGGTCAGCCCCAACCACAGACTAGGCGCCTGGGCTCCCTCCTTGTTGAAGTCGTAGCCAAACCAAACCAGACCCGCCGCAGTTGGATAGATCCTAACTCAGAGAGACCCAACGGGATGGAGTGGAATGGAGGCCCTATCGGGTTTCCAGGCTGGCTCTAATCTTCCCGGCAGCAGGCTGGTGGGTGTAGACAGTTGACCTCTCGGTTAGCAGCCGAGTGCTGTTAGCCAGGGCACCATCAGCATGCCTGTGATGGAAGTGGCAGTTCCTCTAGAGGAAACTGCTTTCCTGTGTCCATTCTCCAGCAGACACACACTGTTGGGACACCAGAAGGCAGAAGCGTGGCACCCACAGGGCTGGGCAACAGAACATGTAGAGCCTCCGTCCCTGAAGAGCTGAGACCGATGGCACAACAGATACAAGCAGGATGGGACGAGCGCATGGAGAGCGAAGGGCACTGCCATCCTGGTGCCGGAGGCACCCGGGCAACGTGCTCCCCTCCCCACCCTCACAGCGAGGCACGGTGCTCCTGGTCCCAACACTGGCCCACGGCGGACACGGGCAGGGCTTTAGAAGGAGCCACAACCTTCACAATTAGTAATTCGTGTCTGAGGGTGGTGTTCCCCATCCCGTGTCTAAGCAGAACCAGCTGTTTGAACTAGACGCTCCTGCCTGTGGTGATCCGAGTCAAAGGGCCCGTGTGGGAGTCTGTGTGGGAGATGTGTCTGCTTCTGCGTGGTCGGGAGAGCGAGGCTTCGTTACTATTGTAATCGAAGAAACTTTTAATGATGCGTTAGGAAACAAGACTACTCCTCCCCACCCCCTCGAACTTTGTTAAACAATTGCTATTTTATTTTTGGTCCACACACATTCTGGGCTTTACTCTCAAAGGCATGCAATTAGATGGTGTCTCTCCCCGAGATAATTCTTAGAAAAGGGGGCGCTGCATTCTCTCACCCTCTGAAAGTCTCTCACGAGGGAAGAGGACGTGGGCTTCAGCCCTTCGCTTCCCACAAAACAGAAAAACCAGATGAAGCTCGCACGGGCGGGGCTGCTCCCTCCCTCCGCTTGCAGTGCATGGTTTGGGGAAGGCACCTGCGCCTGACGTGGTCTGGGATCAGTGTTGGGTTGGGCGCTTTTGCAGGTCAGCAGGATGAAGTGACGGGCAGGAGGTGCTGAGTTATTCCTGGGCTGCGATTGTTGTACAAGGTGACACAAAAGGCTGGGACTCAACACCAACTCGGTCCCGCTAGACAAGGGGTCCCGGTGGTGGAGTGGTTAGTGTTGGGCTGCTCACCACAAGGCCAGCAGTCTGAAGTCACCAGGGGCTCCGAGGGAGAAAGACCAGGCTTTCTGCTGCCATAAGGATGTGCAGTTTCCAGGACCCACAGGGGCTGTTCTGTTCTGACAGAATTAACCTGGTTGCAATGAATGTGGAGTCTTGGGGTCAAATGATAGACCATGATCTTGGGGGTGCACGATGAATTCAATGCTTTCATCAGCCGTGAGAATGGGGGAGCATTGTGCTATAAAATGAACACGTTATTCGTGCCTGATTTAAAACATACGATGGACAACGGAGCTTAAGTATTATAAGCAGATTGTCAAACGTGCCATTTATTTTTCCTTGAGGCCAAGTTTGCATCCGCTGAGGTGCACACAGATCTGAAGGGTGCGTGCAGTTTGATGAGTCCTTACACGTGAACTTGCTCCTGACACCCACTCCCCATTGAAGGCCTGGAGCACGAGCCCCTCCCCCACCTCAAAGACAAACGCTGCCACTTTTACCTTGTGAGGGAAGTGGAAAGTGGTATCAATTGGGTGCCACCCTCTATTCGGGGACCCTGATGATGCAATGGTTAAGTGCCCAGGTGCAAACAGAAAGGTGTGGTGTGAACCCAGCAGCGGGTACGCATGAGGGCCCTGGTGATGCTTCCCTGTAAGGGGTGCAGCCCAGACCACATGCTGTGGGCAGTGGTACTCTGTCCTCCTGTGTGTCGCTATCGATTTAGGGGCCCCCAATGACCACACGGCGCATCGTGCATGAAAACGCTTGCGCTTTGGAACCAGTCTACTCAGCCCCTCATCCGAGTTGGCCTCCTTGTTTGACTCTGCAGGAAGCATCTGGAGGGGATGGACGAAAACAGGTCCTTCCAATGGGCAGGCCGCCTGCAGGGGCGCACATTCCTCAGCTCTGATTACCAGGCCTGCCCACTCAGGCACATTTGGTCTGGGTTTGGGGAAACAACTTGCGAGGTTCGCAGGACGCATCTGATCCTAATTGAAATCAGAGCTGGGGGCAGAGCTCCTCCCGGCTCTACCAAAGGGTGCTCGGGTCTCTCGGGGGCCGGAAGCCTGTTCTGTTCACCAGCGGTCAGGTGTGAGGAGCCTGTCGCGGTCTGCTGCACACCAAGCGTCAAGACAGAGGGCAGCGAGAGGGTTGAGAACAAGGAAGCAGCGGGTCAGCCAGGGAAGGTCCTTCTCTTCCCCTTCCCGAGCAGTTTCCCAGGCGGCCGGTTCTCGAAAGAGGAGGGGAGGTGCCACTGGCTCTGCCCCGTGGCCCTCGGAGGGAAGGGGAGACTGAGTCTGTGGTGAAGGAGAAGAATGCAGTGTGCTCCCGGCTGTGGTTACAGCGGGAATCACTTCAGTCGGGAAAACGGCATTTTATTATTTTTTTCTGGGAGGTTCAGGGTGGTCCTTCTGCAAAGGGAGAGGAGGCTCGCTTGGCAGCACAAGGGCCCGATTCACACCCACCACTCCTGCTGCAGATACGTCTTCCGCTCCAGCTCAGCAACTCCATCCCTGGGCAGGGCTGTCCGAGGGAGGGAGGGCTCTCCTGTGCGTGCTGGGCAGATAGGAATGTAACAGCCACCAGAGCCACATCTACCACTTCCCAGAAGCCCTTCCTAGGTGCCAGGTGGGCTCCCTGGATTGTGTGAAGGGTTAACTGCTCAGCTAAAACAAGGGCAATGGAAACCTCATTGTTATCAAATTGATGCTGACTCGCAGCGACCCTGCCGGACGGGAGAACTGCCCCATTGGGTTTCCGAGATGGGCTTTCTACTCCCATAAACAGTTCCAGTCTTGGAAACTCTGGGGCAGTTCAACCTGGTCCTGTACGGTTGCTGTGAGTCAGCCTGGCCTCGCTGGCAGCGAATTTGCTGTTCTGTTTTTTCTCCTCCCACAGAGTAGCTGGTGGATTTGAACTGTTGGGCTTGAGAAGATCAGTCCAACCTGTGGGCCCCGCCACTGGGGTTTCCTCGAACCCAAAGGCTGGTGATTCAAATCCGCCCAGAGGCGTCCAGTGAAAGGCTGGGCAGCTGACTTCCAACAGATCAGCCCAGAAAAGCCGGCCTCACTCACTTCTACCCCGACACGTGTGCGGTCGCCCGCCCTGACCTGGCGATCGCTGCTGTGGCATTTTGGTTCAGGCGCTCAAGCTGGGTTCCCTGCATGTTTGAACCGGTTTGACCATCCTAACAGCTCACGAGGCAGGTGCTTCTCCTGCCTGCACTTTATGATTGGCACTGACTTTCATGGAGAGGAGAGGGGAGGCGAGATGATGGCCCGAAGTCACCCAGCTAGTGGGCAGCAGAGTGGCAAGGGAACACAGGCCAACCAGCCCCAGGACGCTGCCCGTAGCCCCCTCCCTGCACCGCCTCTCAGGATGGGGAAGGAGTAGAGGGGACAGAAATCGCCCCGTCCTGTTCTTCCCCCCCAGTCAAAGGGAGGGAACCACTCGCTGAGAACCCCAGCCCTCTATGCTGACCCCTTTTTGACACAGTCGGGCAAAAAAAATAAAAATCCCCCAAATGTCTGCTCAAACCCTAGGAGGGAAAGTGCCTGTGGGACGGGAGGCTGGGCTGTCCCTTGGGCTGGAGAGGGCAGTGCTCCATGGAATGTTGTTTCTGGAAGGCCACATCTCCAAGCCTGTGTGGTCCCAGGGCCTTGGCTGACCCTTCAGGAGCCAGGGGCCCTCGAGTTCAGTGACTTGTCCAGGGCTGTGTGGTTGTGGCCGACAGGATTGGCATTCAACCAAGGAGCTCGGAGACACATGCCCTGGAGGAAGACTCAAGGGTCCGTGGCTCCAGCCCTAACTCTGCCTCCTTACAGCTGTGTGCCAAGTTGGCAACCTAGGGCCTCAGTTTCCTCCTCTGTTAAATCAAGACATTGGGCTACATGACCTTTGGCTGCTTATTCCACATTCAGGGACTATCTGCCCATTTCCATTAGCGGATGGGGCCCCCTCATCTCACATCATGTAGATGAGCAATTGCTGGCCACCGGAGACCCCTCCTCCTCCCCAGATGGCTTTCAATCATGCTCTTTGCTCAAAATATGAGGGAAGCAATGCTCTCTGCGGGTGCTGCAGACATCCCAGCACCACCCAGCCAATGTCCTGCAGCCCCCTTGCCTTGGCTGCCCCAGGACTCTCTGGATGTTGCTCCCTGCTCCCCACTGTCCACTTCTGGCTTCTTTTCCAGACGATCGGAGCCCGGAAGTTCCCCATGACACGGCTGCTAGTCTCTCGGGACCCCTGGCAGCTGCAGGAGGTCCAATTTCTATTGGAATCTGAGCAAAGGGGCCTTCCCACCCACCCACATATACCAGAAAGGACAAGTGGGCGAGAAACAAAACGTTAAGGCTGAATTCTGCCCGAGCAGCTTTGAGGGTTTTCTGTGGCAGGCCTCTCCCTCCCTTCCTCCTCCAAGGAAAACACTGCGCAACCTGACACCCAGAGGTGGCGGTGACGTGGGAAACGGTTGAAGCCCAGGGAACTGCGGGAATGACTTGGTGGTCGAGTGGGGGGTCAGCCTTGGTCAGGGGAGTGAGAAACCTCAGAGGTCCCAGGCCTGTTAGAAGATGAAATGTCTCCTATTCACCCTTGGGGGGTCTGGCAGGACCCTGTTTCATGGAGTGCTGGGGCTGAAGCACAAAGTGGGACTGATTCTGTAGGGCTGATACTCAAAAGGA